TTTTTTTTTTTTGCTTGCAGGATGTACTAACAGCTGGTGTTGGATGGGATGTAGCACTAGCACTTGAATTACTCAGACAAGAGCAGTCTGGATCAATGTATCAGTCAAATAAAAGCATCCCGCACATGAAAGGCAGGATCGCCATGGTTTCCCCCCCTGAAGCTGGGCCTTGTTGCCATGGGATTGGGATGAAGGGAAAACAGACAGACGGACTCCCGATGAGATATTATTAGCCTCCATGTTGACATGACGTTAAGGCTGATCGGTGGGTACCTCGTGAACTGAAAAAAAAAAGCAAAAAAAAAAAACAGATCAGGGTTGCAAGAGTTCAAGCGTCACAACTTTGTTTAACAAGCGTGATTAAATGAGAGGAGGTCCGGTTCCACCTGTGTGCGGTTGCTTTGTCGCAAACAGATCACACCTGGACTCATTTCATTGCAGCGCCTAAGGGGGAATGAGTGGATGGCGCTCCGCAAGGCAGGTGTACGAATAATAATACAATTGCGATCAATGTCCGAGAGATAAGAGGAAGTTCCAGGAAATGTTTACATTAAAACCCGTCACGTGACATGAAAATAGCGGTGTTGACAGTACTGCAATGATGCACCGAGATCTCCATATTTCTATTGTTGAAAGTGGACGACACCAGCTTTTAGCAGACATATGCCAAGAAGGTGATTCACCCCGTGGGGGGGGGGGGGCTTCATTGATGCTTTCAAATTTCCCAAATGAGTCACTGACGCTGTAGTGGTTCATCTGCTTGACTTCCTTCCAGCCGCTGTGGGATCAGTTGCCAATTAGTGTCGGTGTGGATGCGAACGACAATGGTTGCCTGTCTCTACCTGACCGTACGTTGCTGTTGACTAGAATCTCGTCCAGCGTCTCGTCCGCCTTTTGCTCAAAGTCAGCTGGGATAGGCTCTAGTTCCCAACTGCCACGAATGCGATAAAAGTGGTCTAGAAAATAGATCCTTGAATTGAATTCCTCGGTCTGTTATTTAGGTTTGTTGGTGGCATTTTTGTTTTGCTTTGTGGGGCAGACAGCGCCCCCTGAGGACTCCTGTTGTCACTCACATCAAATTGTTTACTCGTACATTACCTCAAACATTTATAAGATTATGTTATTTTATTAATTATCATTTTATGTGTGAGCATCATATTATTTCATTTTAAGATTACCTCAATTGCATTCTGTCGTTTAATAATTGCTTACACGTGTTTTTATTTTGATAGCTTCCGATTGGCTGGTGAAGTAAGGGAAAGCAGGAAGTGATTTAAGTTGCAGAGAAGTGTGTTCTCGATCGTACTGCGGAGCAGACGTTTGGAAATAAAGCTGCGTTCAAACGGAATCCATCTCTCCTTTTGCCGTTTCGTAAAATAGAGCCATCCATTCAAAAACAACGAACCCCTCAACTTACACATTTATTTGCTCCTTTAACTCCAGAGAGAGTTTGAATCCTGTTCACAGAGTTTCACTGATACTGACATTCTAAGACAGATTGATGATTTAAAAATTCTCCGTCACGCATAGTTTCATCTCCAGAGACATGTCCTCAACCTGACTTGTGACGCACTCCTAATATTGTACCGTGTGCTTATTTACATGACTTGTACAAATCGCCAAAGCTGAGCATGTTTGCCAAATGGATGAGGGGAAGCCATAAAAAGTGATCTCATGGTCCTGAAACAACTCCCAGCAGACAACGGTGACATCATGGAATATTGTGTTCTCTCACAATTAGGTCAAAAGCGGAGCGCTTGACGGTGACGTTTTGATAAATTTGCCTCGGTGGTATTGATCAGGTATTGCGCGTGCAGTGAATGTCACCAGGTAACAATGGTGGCCCAATGCATCCTGGTAATGACAACTCATTGTTCTCAACCATTTATCAATACCCCCTCCCCCTATAATGTCGCCTTGAGAACAAAAGATTCAACTGATTTAATCGGTTCCCACGTGTTTACACCGACGTTCGAAGTGACGTTTTCAGAAAACCTGGTAAAACACAAGCCCCCGATAAGAGAGCCGGTGTGAGCGCAGTGTTTGCTTTGGAAAGTGGATTTGAGATCGTTCCAGAGGAGGAGCCAAGTTTGTTGATCTCAGCATGAAAACATTATCACACTGCTTTCGAGCAACCAGAGAGGTTCGGCGTAAGTCTGACATTTCAAAATACATTGACAAAAATTTCAAAATGTAATTATTGTTTTTCTTTCCAGCTTATTGCTTTGTAAATATGCATTAGTGATGGCAAAGGCATCCGGGTAACTGAAGGTAACCAAGCAACTGTTTTCAGATACTCAAGATTAACCCAGTGCACTTCCCCTTTCGCGCATTTACATTTATGACGCACAGATGTTTCCTGCAGATAATAGATTATCACGTCTCATGATCAGCTTTAAGTGCCACACGTTGCCCTTTTGATAGACACTATTTAGACGAAGATGTTTATGTCTGAATATTGCATGTACCGGTATATGTGTTGTATTTTTGTGAACGCCGCCATTATTATCAATTTGACAATTTATTATTGGTTGTCTTTTATGATTTCACGACTTCAGTTTTGTTATATCTGCCCCAAGGAGTGGCAATAACGCCTTTGTAAATCACTGGGGTCACCATTTGATAAATTTCAGATTTTTTATTTTCATTTTTTTAACAAACATCTGGGTGTGATTTTAACAAAGTGTTGACCAATCGAAAGAATTGAAATTCACTTGTCCACTTTGACGACGCAAGTTAATGGTGGAACAAACATACCGATTTTCTTTTTGTCTCCTAAAAAGTGATGATGTTGGAGGTATGGAGATTCCTGTATGCCAGGACTCACAGTGTTGTCTGTTTTTTTTGTGGTCTAAAAAACAAAGTTGAGTCGAGTGTCTCCAAGTTGAAGCCATTCAAGTCTACTTACACACAGACCTGCATGCACTGCGAAAGTGCAAATGGCTGAATAAATCTGATATGGATCCTCTGATCGCTTGACACTTGGTAAGAAGAACTTTTTCAGTTGATAGCAAGCTGTGAGCTAGTGATTCCAAAGTAGCTGTGGCCGATGGGCTAAAACCAATGTGCCCACTTCTTTCGGACTGTAAATCAGTCGAAATCCCACAGATAGTATAAGTGGTGGAGCAGCAAGGTGAATCGCAGGTAATTTACGTTTATTTACGGGTATTTCGGAGCTGAGTGTTGTCCTACAGCACAGGTGTCAAAGTCAAGGCCCCAGGGCCAGATCCGGCTCACCACATCATTTTATGTGGCCCGCGAAAGAAAATCATGCGTGTCAACTTGCATGATCCTTGCGAAAATCTGTACTGAAAGGTCAAATGTGTAATAAATTGAGATAAGTTGAGATTTTACAATAATTTTGTTACCCTATTTACGACAAACAACAAACCAATAGCTGTTTTTAAGACAAGTCACAAGGAAGCAGAGACAGCTCCAATGAAGGCTCAAGTGACAGCCGAAAATTTCAGCCAGGTAAGAGTTGAAGAGAAACTTCACCAGAAAAGACCGTAGTCTGGAAAAAAAGGAACTTTAAACCTGATTTAACAAGCAAGTAGTTGAGTGATTTCAAAACTAGTCATCCATCAATTGGTTGTGTACAAGTTATGTGAAGAGATGATATATTCGGTTTCACTGTTGTAACGGCCCGCCGGGGGAAAACCTAACTCCAAAGTGGCCCGCGACAAAAATGAGTTTGACACCCCTGTCCTTCAGGATCCGCCTCCACAGAGGACCCCGAAAACACATCCTGCGCAAAGAGCTCTTGACGACAAATGCACGCCGTCGGCTTGTATGGTCCGTATTTCCTTTTCCTTGTTAGTTACTTGCTTCTGCTCTCTATTGCAGTAACGCAAAAGGTGATTTATCGGGCCGTGCACCGCAGAAAGACAAGCCCTTATTTCCATCATAATGGCTGAGGCCGGATTGTGGCTCTTTGCGGCTGCATGAATGATCGGTTCAGACTAGAAAGTGGATCATGACGAGTTATATTTGTCCTTTTCACAAGTGCATAATCCGAAGTATCAAATCCGCAATGAAGTATTTGCATGACAAAGTGTCATATTGTTTTTTATGACAGATTAAGTAGCAACAGCTATTTACATGCAATAATCACATTATGCTGTTTCATTACCGTGAGGTGTCAGTTCTCTATCACAGCATTTCCGAGCCTTGCGGGGGGGGGGGGG